AATTAAATCACTACTAACTTCTCCAATTCTTTGTGGTCTGCTCATTCCAAAATCAGATAATTTTTTTCCAGAAATAGTAGTCACTTGATCTTCAACTTTTGTTAAGGCGACATTGTAAATTAAATCACTGTATGAAGCATTCGGGTTCTGTTCTTGCAATCTGTGTAAAATATCATACGTCATATAATTTTTATACTTTTCCCACAATTCTTGTGGATTTGAAAGTCCACATGCCGCTATTAATATGGCCTTGGGCGCAGATTTGAATTGTGCGGCATCTTCTAGAGTTATATCCCACTGATTATCAGTCTCTAATAAACCTCTTGCTTCACATGCCCCTCGATATAACGAAAATTCTTGATTAGTGAGCTTTTTAAGATCTTTGAAAGAGGTTGGTCCACGCACATGGTGTAAAAGCATTCTTAAACAAAAACATTCCATATTACTAACATGGACCGTATATACTCGTCCTAAAGCATCTCCAAATTTGACACCAGGACAGTTCTGAACAGGTACTCCTTGTATTCGGCGTTTCCATTCTCTCCTTGTCGTGTTCCAAGTGTAATATCTCGGTACATCAACATAGAGAAGAGTTCGTGTAAATTCACCTTTGGTACAGAGGTCAAACAAAGCAGTAAGTGTAGTTTTTGGAGGAGACGATAATCTTTCTCGAAATTTATTTTCATTAAAGTAGACACGTTCACCATTTTCGAGGTGCACATTGAGGTATGTGACGGTTGGATGCCTCTCGTGTAATGGGAATCCCAAGAGACGCCACACAGCTTCGTTGCTATTGACATAACGACCAGATTGATATGTACGTACTTTGGCACTATACATGGCACTGAATAAAATATTTTTCTTTCTTTCTTTCTTTCATCTATAGCATTAACGGCTTCTGTGTTTCTGAAATTGAAAATAGCTTGGTCGCTACCTTTATTAATATTCTTGCAAATATATTTAATAGCGCGCACTGAACAAAATATTTAACGCCTATACAAATGTTGAGGCTTGACATTTGTATAGGCGTTAAATATTTTGGACAAAATAGGCGAATAAGGAACAACCCAACTATTATCTACAGCCACGTAACTACCATTTCGGAGTTTTACAGATGATGTTCGACCTCCGTCTGATGGTGGTCTTCTCCGATACAGCGGATATCCGTTATCACTGTGGATAGTCTCTTTAATAAGCTTGCGAGGATATTTTTTAGTGCATTTGCCATCCTTCATGCAAGGGCATTAAGAAGGCAGGGCCGCATGGACCATGAATCATATTTTTAATAATTATTGCATGGAGTGACATGTCATCATTTGGATCCGGAATTTCAGCGCTGATGATTTTATCTATTTCATCAGGTCTCAACTTTCTTTTAGCCACACTAAAATATGCACTTGTGGTAGGCCGCGCTTTTGCCATACTACTGAATACATAAAACACAATACTTTTTTGAATATTTTTCCTTTGTTAATAAGAGTAATTAACTTTTTAACTTTCAATGTAAAAACTCTCGCAACTATATCGTGTCTATTCACTGCCCTTTGTCCCAGTAGCAACTCATCAACTATTTCAGCCCAACTTGGGTTACATGTGAAAGTGATAAATAAATCAGGGTGACCATATGCAAAGGCGTCTTGAGTGTATTCATGCAAATATCTGGGGCTATTTACAAACGAAGACGGTAAAATAACCATTTTACCTAATTAGGATTAACATTATCATCATTTGCTACAGCATCTTGAAGATGAATGTAGTTCTCCGCTCTTAATTTACTTTGATTTCATGATATATAACGTAATCGTTCGCTTTCAACTTTTACGTACTTATCTACATAAAACTGGTTAGCCAGTTGTCTGCATCGTGATACTAAATTGAAATCATTTTCTCGAATCATTATACGATAAGCATAAAAATCCATGCAAGATATTTTTTTGTTGGGTAAGGGCAATCCAGTCACAGGACTAAGTTGAGGTATTTGAAAGTAATAGCCCTCCTGACCCCTTGCTGAATATTAGCGGATATTGTAGAGCGTCGTAAAATTTGTGTGTGTCTGGTACCCTGGTTAATGTATTATTACGGGTGTGTAAAATAATATCACGGGAAGCAAACTGTTCGCCAGATACCACGGCTGCGACTTCATTAATTAATGGTGCATTATACCGTCTTTCATGTTCCCCACTTAACGCAGTTTTAAAAGTTTTGATCAAGCTGTTATGATCGTGCAACATTCTTTGAATTTTTATAACGATATCTCTTTCAATATCTTGAATATTTTGACACCTGCAATCAACTTCGCCATTTTCGTCTCATATAAAGTAAATTTATAAAAATTTTGGCTGATCTATAATAGATCTGTCTTTGGATCGTAAATGTTGTGGAAAATCCGGGCATAACAACTTCATTATCTACCCCAAATGACGTCATTTGAAAACAACAATTGTATTTTTTATTTTGTTCAAAAAAACGCCGTGATTCGTTACTGTCGTACATAAGCAAGGATTTTAGAGGTTCCTTTGGCTCACCAAGGGATGGAACTGAAATTTTACCACCAGAACAACACATACCCGGAGTTTCCTCTTTCCATTTTAGTGCATCACAATGTGAGCACTTTTTATCCATTCGCCCTATAACAATTAATTGATGATTAATATAATCAATCAAAGGATCATAACCAAAAGCAGCGTCTTTAAATGCCTCCCACGTACTTCGTGTAAATAAACTTTTCCTTTGTGACTGCCGTTCAGCATTGAAAATACGTCTTCGTAGTAATTCTTCATGGAACTCTGCAGCAATCAATGACGCATGACGCTCTGCATCTAAAAGCTGATGTACTCGAGTTTGTTGTATTGTTTCAGCAGCCCTTTGAGATGCGTGATGCTCGGCATCTAAAAGCTGCCGCGCTTGACTTTTCTCCTCAGTCTCAGCAGCTCTTTGTGATGCGTGACGCTGAGTATCTAAAACTCGCCATGCTTGGTTTTCCTCTTGTATCTCAGCAGCCCTTACAGATGCGTGACGCTTAGCATCTAAAAACCGCCGCGCTAGACATTCCTTCTCAGTCTCAGTAGTTCTTTGAGATGAATGACGTTCAGCGTCTAATATCCGCCGCCCTTGACTTTTATCCTCAGTCTCAAGAGCTCTTTGAGATGCGTGACGCTCACCATCTAAAAACCGACGCGCTAGGCATTCCTCATCACTCTCAGCAGCTCTTTGAGATGCGTGACGGTCAGCATCTAAAAACCGCCGCGCTTGATTCTGCTCTTCTGTCTCAGCAGCTCTTCGAGATGCATGCAGCTCGGCATCTAAAGTTAAACGGCTTTGAGTGTGCTCTACAGACTCTTGGCTTCTAGCAATTTTTTTAGTGCGAGCTCCGCTAGAACTACGCGACAGATTAGATTTGTGTTTTCGAGGCATATTATTAGAATAAAAACAATGTAACTGAACAAAAGACTGTTCAAACACACACCTAACTAACACACACGAATCAAAATGTAAACCTCCTGATTAGAAAGATATTATTAATAAAACAAATTAGCAAAACATTTAAAACTACACTTTATATTATTTTTGACAGTAAACCTAGAAAAAAAAACTTAATTTAAAATACTTATATTTTTTAAGACGTAAATAACTCAAAAGATTATGATAACTATGTATTACGAAAATACACACGCAAAATTTTGTAAAATTAATGAAAACAATGATATTTTACAATGATATTATTCACAAAAATAAACAAAACAAATAATAATGACAAAGAAAATAATAATAAACAAAACAAATAGTAATAATATTGCATAACTTCCAATTAAAAAATAATAACGTTAAGACAACCCAAAATTCTAGTCTGGAAATGAAAAACAACATAAGAGGGCAACGGAATAATAATAATATCAAAGAATAGTATCTCAAAGCTGAATGTTATAATTTTACAATCGTGTATATTTAAATAATGAAGAAAACGAAATGATATCGAGTTTCAACAACCATACAGTGTCATCTAGTATTCGTTTTGGAACTAAATCACGTAAACTATATTTACATACAGAAAATCATTGTCAAATATTTAACGTAACTGATATACTATACTACTTTAATATAAATATATTTATAACTAACACTACAGTGACACTCTCAACAATATCTAACAAAATTCGCAAGTATTGAAAATTACGATAATTCCGCACAAATTCATCTTCCCTTTCAAACCCTGACAGACAGGTAGACAGAGTTATTTTCACATAAGGATAAAGTAACCCAAAAAAGCCAAAGAAAAAAGTTTCATCGTTCTAGCTTCATTAATGACAAATTGCCATAAAAACTTTCATCCCCTAATTTATTTTAACCCCCTAAAGGAATTTTTTTAGAAACTTTGTATGTCATATTTATTTATATTTAATCAACAGCATCAAAATAGATTTCAGGCTTCTAGCTTAAAAATGACGAATTTAAATAAAAACATTCTTCCCTTATTTTATTTAAGGGTAAAAATTTAACAAACCTTTAATCTTATATTTATTTAAGTATATTTAATCAACAGCCTCAAAAATAAGTTTCAAGCTTCTAGCTTTAAAAATGACGATTCTTCCATACAACCTTTCACCCCTCTATCAAACCCTTACAACCCTTTTTTCGCATTAAAAAGTAGCCTATGTCCGTTCTCCGGGTCTAGACTATCTGTCTACCAAATTTCATTTAAATCGGTTCAGTAGTTTTGACGTGAAAGCGAGACAGACAGACAGACAGACAGACCGAGTTACTTTCGCATTTATAATATTAGTAGGGAAAGTAAGGAATATTAGTAAGGAAGTAAGGATAAGGATAAATATTTTTCGAAGTTAAATAATCAGAGCTTCTGCCCTATCTTTTTAACTTGTATTTATAACAAAGTACATTTAGATAAAATAATTAAAAGCGACAACTTCTGAAAATAAAAAAAAACATTTACTTATGACAAAAATGTACAATTCCAGTTATTTTACCAAACATGTTATGTACAGAGATGCTCCAGAAAGTGTTGGAAAAGCCATTAGAGAAAAAGTCGGGTCGCAATTTCGGACCGCCAGGAAGCAAGTTTATGATCTACTTCGTGGATGATTTCAATATGCCCGAAGTAGATACGTATGGTACTGTGCAACCACATACGCTTATTAGACAATTCATGGATTACAAACATTGGTGAATAATTATATTATTTCAATGCAAAATATTAAGACTTTTATTATCGAAGTTTCTATAAAATACATTTTTTTTAAGGTACGACAGACAGAAGTTGACATTAAAGGATATCTCGAATTGCATGTTTGTATCTTGTATGAATCCTACTGCAGGGTCCTTCACCATAGACCCTCGACTACAAAGACATTTCTGCACGTTCGCTGTCAGGTATTATGGAAAATATTTCCATATAGCTGTATTAAATTTTTGTCTACTATTACTTTAGTATTCAAATATCAATACACCTAAATTAATATTAGTTATGACTAATTAGAGTATTTCTAAAACAAATTTCCCTACAGCTTCCCAGGTCTAGATGCTTGCTTCCACATCTACAAACAGATATTGTATCAACACGTAAGCAATCCGCTAAACAAGTTCCCTCTGCCGGTACAGCGGTATACGGAGCCACTAGTAAACGCAGCACTCGCGCTCCACAATAAACTTGCGTCCACGTTCCTACCAACTGCCATAAAGTTCCATTATATTTTCAATCTTAGAGATTTATCCAATATATTTCAGGTATGCATTGAAAATTTAGTAGTTACCTATAGCAATGTTCCTGTAGATGTGTAGACAGTGTCCTCTGTATTTACATACTTACAAAATCAATTAAAGGATGCTTGGAGTTAAAATTACTTTATTGTTGTATCAATAATAAGTTTAATTGTAGTTATTTGGTCGTATTAATTTATGTGCCATTAATGACACTAAAATATATGTACTTCTTTTATGACAGAATTTTTTTTGGTAACTATACCTATTATATTAGTGTACCTACTAGGTACTCGGCCCGGCTTCGCACGGGTGTACATTTATTATATATATAAACCCTCCTCTTGAATTACTTTATCTATTAAAAAACCCGCTTCAAAATCCGTTGCGTAGTTTTAAAGATTTAAGCATACATAGGGACATACAGCGACAGCGACTTTGTTTTATACTATGTAGGTAATGATATACGCTGCTTATTATAATAAAGTAAAACTACAGGATAATACGTCTTAGTCCTCTAGAACCTTCTAACCATTGCAGGGTATTCTATTTACAACAGGCGATGCTATCAAACAACAATCAGAACTAATTAGATTATGGATGCACGAGGCTACACGTGTATATTCAGATAAGCTCGTTGACGGTTCTGACAATGAAGCTTTCCACAAACTCATCGTGGAGGTTATAAAGAAAAACTGTGAGGTGTGCTATGTTATACCGTGTTTTTTAATTTACTTGATTAATTAATAGGAAACATATATCCAATTTTGTCTGCATACAATTTATATTCTCTCGCTATCTTTTTTTGTTGCAAGTATGTAAATTATAAATTTACGAAAATTTAGTCCTTTAACTCAAATAATTTTTACTGCATATTGAATGTTTAATAAAACGATTGCTTAGAGCTTTATTTTATATTATATAGTTTCAATAAAATTGTATTCCGACTTGACAACTATGTTATTAACGCAGGATTATGACGAGAACGTTGTATTTGAGAAGCCACTCATATACTGCCACTTCGCCGAAGGCATTGGTGATCCCAAGTACTTCCCCATTAGAGATTGGCCGCAGATTAAGAAATTACTAGATGAATCACTTTCCGGATACAATGACTTAGTTGCTACTATGAACTTAGTATTATTCGAGGATGCCATGTATCATATTTGCAGGTAATGTTTTATATCTCAATAATCATTAAGAATCACCCATAATACCTTGTATTCCATTTTAGTAAAATATACTTGAAATGTCTTAGGATCAATCGTATCCTCGAAGCTCCGCGAGGCAACGCATTGTTAGTCGGCGTGGGTGGTTCAGGAAAACAATCATTGTCTAGATTGTCGGCCTTTATCTCCTCACTCGAAGTATTCCAAATACAGCTGAGAAAAGGATATGGCATAAACGATCTCAAAGTTGATTTAGGTAAATTATTATTATGCATTCTAATAAATAACCTACTTAGTATTACGTACAATAGCCCTTAACCTTGTTACAATTGCTATGAAAGTAGGTAAATTAATGGTAGGCAAATAATTCTTGTTATTTTTTATACTTTTGTCATATTTTACTCTTAGTTTTAAAAGTTTGCGATAAAGCTCGAGATTATATATCACGAGAATATAGTGTTTATGCATATTTTAACAATACCATTATACCTGTGTTCAGGCCACGATACATCTTATTTATTCAGGACAACTCAAAAACTACTAATCAGGTAATAAAATTTATATGGGACAACACGAGAAGCACCAACTTTCAACAATAATTATCACAACAGTTCAGGCAGAAAAAACACATTAAAATAAACCTTTTTGAAACTGATTAAAAACAGAATGCTAAATTCATTCTGTATATATATTCTTTATACCGCATTTCAGCTGCATTATATATAAAAGCTGGATTGAAGAACATCGGCAACATGTTCCTAATGACAGATGCACAAGTCGCTGAGGAGAGATTTCTGGTACTCATAAACGATCTGCTCGCCTCCGGAGAAATACCAGAGTTGTTAGCCGATGACGAAATAGAAAATATTATTAATGGTGTTAGAGGAGAGGTTAGAATGAAAATAATGTCATATTAGAATGTAATTAATAAATTAGTACTTAGTAAAACTAACAATGTTTTGTTTTATCAGACTAAGGCGTCAGGCGTCCCTGATACAAGAGAGAATTGTTGGAGATTTTTTATAAATCGCGTTCGTACAATGTTAAAGGTTGGTAGATATTTATTGATCAATTATCTAAATTAGTACTACAAAGAATCAATACTAATCAGTTTTTTACCCACAGAAAGCTATGTTGTCAGTGCGTGAAATGGATTAGATTTAGAAAAAATTTAATATAATTTTATAAATACGAAGCTGATTTGTTTTTTTTTCTTAGACTATTGGTAATATTGTTCATATATTATAACAGCATATTTTAACCCACTTCCAGATGACCTAGGAAGTTCAAATTTGGCATGCAGATAGGTAATTAGGTGAATATAAAGGAAAAAATCGTGATTATTAATGAAAACGTCGATAGCTACCAATTGACATTGATCCGAAATAATATTTTTTTTCGATAACTACAAACTTCTATTGAGCGGTAATAGTTGCTATAATTTCATATATTATAAGATAGCATAAAAATAATTATTTTTATCGTGATTATAAGTAAGAGCTTCTTCCAATATTTCCACACTTCAAACATAAACTTGAAAGAGAACAACTACTGCTATTACTATCCACAAATAGATACGAGTCTAGTATTTAGTCAGGTTTAGACTCTCCAGAGTTAAAACCTTAGATAAGATAGCAGTGCATGTGAACAGTTATTTAAAGATTATTTATTTTAGATCAGAATTTATAACATTTTATGAGTGTGTTTTGTCATGACTTTCAAGTGTTATCCAGTGGTGGTGGTGACAATGTACATTGAAAAGTACAGAAAGTGGGTAGAAAGTTTTGTCTGCTCGTAAATTGTTTACTACTATCTCCTGTCCACCCATAGCGTGCCAGGATGTACGCACCAGAAATATCGGGAGCTCTTTAATAATATTATCATGTTATATATTTCGTCAATATAATGTATACAATTTGGTAAAAATGTTTAATTTGTACAGGTGGTGCTGTGTTTCTCCCCGGTGGGTGCAACGCTGCGTATTCGAGCGCGCAAGTTCCCTTCTATAGTCAATTGTACGGCCATAAATTGGTTCCACGAGTGGCCACAGGAAGCGCTCCGATCTGTCTCCAAGCGGTTCATCACAGAAGTGGAATCGTTACCGGTATACTTGCACTATTTTTAAGAGCTCAGCATATAAATATTCCTATTTATGTCTTATATTATTTTATACATATAGGCTATACTTTGTTATTTTGATTGATTTGGAATTTTAACACATAAATATACTTGTAAATTGGAACCTAAAAAAGAGAGGTATGCTCAGAAATTTGTCAAATATATAATAATAAGAATATAATTGATTACTGTAAATTCGTGAAATCCTAATGAAACTATTCTATTAGTATAAATACCATTATTATCAATATTATTTTTGGTATGCAATGTCGAGTATATTTGTATAAAAATTGGCTTCAATAAAAAATCTAATGAAAACCGATAATTGAAGTGAATTGAAATATTTTAATTATTAGACATGTGTTTACAGCCGCATCTGGTGGATCCTGTTTCTGCCTTTATGTCACACGTTCACCAAAGTGTGAATCAGATGTCTGCAGTTTATTTCCAAAATGAAAAACGGTACAACTACACGACGCCTAAGACTTTCCTGGAACAAATTGCACTTTACAGCAAATTACTTAATGAAAAAACTACGAACTTGAAAATGATGATATCAAGGTTAGAAAATGGATTGGAAAAATTAGCTTCGTGTGCCGCTGATGTTGCGGTCTTAAAGGTAAATATACTAAAATTAACTTAGCAAATAGAAAAAAAATAAAAAATAACGTTCGACTGTTATCCCTCATGATGTGTTCAGAGGCATTATCAGCTATAGATGTTGCGGTGAATGCATCACTTGACAAGCAGCAAGAAAATAAAATGTGGGCAACATTTCGCTTGCTATGCTTTGAAACCCACATGGTGGGGGTCGAGCCTACCGTCGTCTCTCGGATTAATTTGTTTTTCTGGGGTTTCTTTCTTGGGGTTGGATTCTCGATATGGGTGTTTCCTTATCCGAGAATCAGAAATATAAACACTAAGTTTTTTTTGAGTCGACTAGATTTGACTCTCTATCTCTTGGATATAATTACGGAGAAAAAACGACGTTACGATGTTATAGCCTATAGAAAAAAATAATAAATAATGTAGAACATGAAAAATATAAACAACTTACTTCGTCCATACATAGGTAACACTAGCGGAGCAAGAAGTTATATTGAAAGTCAAGAATAAAGCCGCCGAAGAGCTTATTGATGTTGTGGGGGCTGAAAGTGAAAAAGTGTCAAAAGAAAAGGCATTTGGTATGATAGTCGTAATAACATTTTTATAGCGACACACATCTTTTTTCATAATTGGGATGGTAAAAACTGTCGGCCTTCCTGATGGTTTTCCTCGTAGATCACGTTATCATGTGATACCCGTGATACCACTCATGCGTTAACATAATTACACTGCCTACATAATTTATACATATTCCTACATAATTACACTGCCTAATCTACTTAAACCAAAACTCAGATTACAAAGCAAATTGCTTGTAGGATGAAATACGTGGTTGAGGTACCCACGTAGATTACTTTTACACTACTGTCTCTGGTTACACATACATACAATATTGTATCGTCTACTTAGAATAGTTGCTCTTAATTTAAAATTACTTATCTCTTTTCTACCTGCCTATTGCCTGCACTGGCTAACTGTTCAGCACATTAGTATACGCATAGTACTTTATGATTTACTATTAAAACAGCGGCCGAAGAAGAAAAAAAGGTTAAAGTAATAGAAGAAGATGTAACGATCAAAGCGAAGATTTGCGCAGACGACTTAGCCAAAGCTGAGCCAGCATTGCTCGCGGCCCAAGAAGCGCTTAACACGCTGAATAAGAATAACTTAACAGAGCTGAAGTCTTTCGGTTCACCACCTGATGCCGTAGTTAATGTCACTGCTGCTGTTCTCGTATTATTCTCTAAAAAAGGAAAAATTCCTAAGGACCGATCTTGGAAAGCTTGTAAGGTGTGTTAATATTTAATAAATCTTAATATCCTTTGTGATACGATTGTTTTCTAAAATTATTTCATCAATTTCAGCTGATGATGGCAAAGGTAGATCAATTCCTATACGATTTAGTATATTACGATAAAGAGAACATTCACCCAGATGTTATCAAGGTAACTTATTTCGTAATATATTGATAAAATAAGTTTATATGATTGCGCTAATAAAAATATACAAAAAAATATAGATTCGCTTGTAAATTTAATAAATGCAATGGTACAAGTCTTATTTTGCTGTCTTTTATAGTTTATATCGTCAGCAATAATATGATCGTCAATTATAATATCTGCTTTATATTCTATTAACTATGTCTCTCCGTCTGACTGAATGTCAAACCCAATTATTTTTAAATAAACCGTCTATGTGCAGGCAGTACAACCATATATAAAGAACCCGGAGTTCAATGCTGAATTCATAATGTCAAAGTCAGCAGCAGCAGCGGGTTTGTGCTCATGGGTGATCAACATTGTAAAGTTCTATGACGTCTACGTAGTGGTGGAACCGAAACGACGCGCTCTCAATGCCGCCAATGCAGAGCTTCAAGCAGCCCGAGATAAGCTCTCCTTCCTGACAGAGCAAATCAAAGTATATACAATACATATATACATTATCTTTCCTAATGTTGATGTTTTGTTACAATTTACTGTTTTTAACAAATTTTTTTTATTATACATATTTTGTGTATCTACTTTTCAAGCAGGTACGACTATTTAAGTTATATTATTAAGCAACTAATAGTCAACATAGACTATTAATGTTTAAGCTAAAACAGTGATTTTTTTAAATACTTCTCTTTTACTTTTATATTGTTGTTTTTATCTTTATTCATTCTAATAGGAATTGGAAGAAAAACTCGAAGAGTTATTGAAAGCATTCCAAGAGGCGGTGAATGAAAAGATGAAATGTCAAGCGGAGGCGGATTCCACTAATGCAACTATTGACTTAGCTAATAGATTGGTTAATGGTTTAGCTTCAGAGAAAATTAGGTGAGCATATAATTATATGAATGATTGTATAATTTTATACACTTATATAAACAGGAACAATATGATGGGAAAATCAATTTTATTATATTAGGTGTCATTTTGCATAAGTTAATTTCGTTACTTACTACGCTTCCAGTAGTAGTGATTAGGTTTCCGTACAGAATATTTATGGTCTCACAAATGCATAGCGAAATTAAACAAAATTATATAAAACCATGAAGTAATACAATGAGAAAACATGACTTTGATGGCCAAACAATACTTAACTACAATCGTAGTTTACTTTAATCTCATCCGTGATAATGATCAATTTTTTGGAAAATTCTGCTTAAGTTAATAAGCATTCTGAGAGTTATATCTAATTAACAGATGGTCTGCGACAGTAGTGAACCTAAAAGAATCGGGGATGATGTTGCCCGGAGATGTGCTACTCGTGACAGCCTTCATATCCTACGTGGGTTGCTTCATGCGTCGCTACAGGCAGCAGTTGATGTATGAAGATTGGATACCCGCGCTGGGGAAGACTAACGTAAAAATATTTTATTTTTAACTTTAAAAAGAGTCTAAGTTACATCCGTATTGGAATATATACTCACGTATCATCCAAATAAAATTATTGTTGTTATTTTTATACAGCAACCTATTAGAATAAAAACATTATTGTGAATTGTAAAAGAGCTTTAATTATTAATAAAATAAGAATGTGGCAATAAATTATTATCCTTCCTCAAGTCTGTGGACGTCATATTATACAGAAATACAACTATATTTTTTTCTTTTTATGCATGTCGTTACGATTTAAATCTGCGGATGTAGTAGTTTCCATTAATTAAGTATGCCAATTGGGTTATTTTGGACCATATAACAAATAAAGGGATATTAAATAATTTTCTTTGCGAAATTTGTTATTATACCTATAAATTATGTTTACGTTCCGTACGGAGCTTAACATTCCTTAAAAATGAACTAAAAGAGTACAAGATTATTCAAAACTATAAAATTTTATTATTTTTATATTAGTTTAATGAACATTTTTTTTATAGCCTAAGATAGAAACGACTGAAGGTCTAGAACCGCTGTCGATGTTAACTGATGACGCACAAGTCGCGTGTTGGAACAACGAGGGGCTGCCTACCGATACCATGAGTACTGAAAACGCTACTATACTGACAAACTCGGCGCGGTGGCCGCTTATGATTGACCCACAATTGTAAGACCATAATAAATAATTATTATATAGGTATAAATGTAGATCATTGCCTAGTTCATCTAAATGAAAGTATATATTTATTATATAAGAGTTGTGCCTCAATTTTATTTATTAGTATAGATACATTCTGAATTAATAAGTACTTAATTATAAATCTCCATGGAGTCTTAGCTCAGCTTATACCAAATCTGGAATTTCCATCAAACTTTTAATATTGCAATTAATGTACAGACAGGGTATAAAATGGATAAAATCTAAATACGGCGACACGTTAGTGGTGATTCGTCTGACACAGCGAAACTACTTGGACCGTATTGAGCGTGGTGTCAGTAACGGTGACGTAGTACTATTGGAAAATATTGGTGAGACGGTAGACGCAGTGTTAGAACCTCTGCTGGGTCGAGTGTTGATACGGAAAGGGCGAGTACTGAAGGTAATATACTGTTTTGTGCAGTAACTTGTGAAATAAAGGCTTCATTTTATAATATAGATGTATGTAAGATAGTATTAGAAAATCTATTTAAATTTTACAATGTTTCATTATTGTAAAAGCCTAAGGTGGTTTAGTCGGGCAAAAATCAGTCAATATAATTTATTCATATCCATTAAAAGATTACCACAATTTATGCCTGATTTACGTAATGGATAATGTTTAATATGCATTTGTTGCTTGGGTTACTATATTACTACAATTTGTAATTTAAAGTATATACCTGAACCGGTATATACTTTAAAGTAGTGTGTGTGAAGCACCGGAAGTGAAGTTTTATTTGGGGTACTCACACTGCTAATTAGACAAAATCTTACTATCTATTGTAATTCTAATTGTTTCGGACAAATCTGCCGCGACTTGGCATTTAATCAATTTTCTCCATTTACAGATAGGTGATAGAGAAATAGACTATCATCCAAATTTCCGTTTCTTGATTCAAACGAAACTAGCGAACCCTCATTACCAACCAGAAATGCAAGCACAGTGCACTTTGATTAATTTTACTGTCACTAAAGATGGGTAAATAAAATTATTGAATAATATGTCTTGTACATATTTTAACTTACTTTGCTAATCTTGGTGTGCTTTTAGCGTAGTAATACATAATTAAAAAAGTATGATCTAAAATTGATATTCTGATTTTTATTAGATATAAAAATATTGATAATATAGAATTAATTTCTTAAATTAGCCTCGAAGAACAGCTGCTAGGTGAAGTAGTAAAAGCAGAAAGACCAGATTTAGAAAGTCTTCGTGCGGGTCTCACCAAGCAACAAAATGATTTTAAGATTACTCTCAAAACACTAGAAGATGATTTACTGAAGAGATTGTCTTCAGCTGGACCTGATATACTAAGTGATTCAGCGCTGGTCATAAATCTAGAAACTACTAAAAAAACTGCTGCAGATATTGAAATAAAAGTGGAGGAAGGAAAAGTTACTGCCGTGAAAATTGATGAAGCTAGAGAGAGATATAGGTGAGTTTTGATGAATTAATTATTATATATGATATGTGTTATATATGTTATATATGTATGTAGGGAAAAAATATTTTGTCAGTATATAATGATATGTTTCCATTATTATTGGTATGTACCTATATACACCGTGGGCGTAAAATGCGTCATGTCAAGTAGAATATTTTAATTCCACCGTTTTTTAAACCAACAGGCGTGCAGCGGCCCGTGCATCCCTCTTGTACTTCATTCTGAACGATTTGAACAAGATCAACCCAATGTATCAATTTTCGTTGAAAGCATACAGCGTGGTGTTCAAGGATGCACTGATGAGAGCTGAAGCTGCAGATGAACTTGAAGCACGTGTGCGGAAACTCCTTGACAGTATTACATTTGCAGTGTTCGTTTACACTAGTAGAGGACTGTTTGAGAGAGACAAGCTCGTGTTCTTATTCTTAATTACAATACAGGTCGGTTTTTTACAATATCTTGTTTTATAATTAATACGATATCAATAAATTTTCTATAAAGGTTTTAATAAGTCTGCCAGTCTATTATACAATAATAACGAAGAAAACATTTAAATTTAAAAAAAGGAATCTCCATCTAAATCTGAATTCTCTTTATGCAAGTTTTGGCAAGAAATATACTTGTACATAGAAAAGTGTACTTATAATAATACAAGCTCAGTATTAAATTTACAAATATCAAACAATAACAATAAGATAGCATATATACTTTACAGGTACTACAAGCTGAAGGCAAAGTAGATCCACGAGAGTTGGACTTCTTATTAAAGTTTGCTGTGGCACCCGAAGTGTCTCCGTATTCATGGCTCTCAAATAACTCCTGGGGTGGTATTATCGCTTTATCCAAAATGGATGCGTTCGAGAACCTCGACAAGGACATCGAGGGTGCTGTTAAAAGGTTTTTGAATTGCACAAACAGATATTACACTATAGGCATATATTACGTTATCACTCTGTTTCATTTTTGCTACTGATGTATTCTGTATTTACATACTGTATTTACATTAAAATATTCATATAATAAGTGATTAATAAATGATAAATAGGTGATTAATTAAGAAATATAATTAATTTTGTAAATAGATGGCAAAAATATACCGACGGTGAAGCACCCGAAAGAGACAAATTGCCAGGTGAATGGAAGAATAAAACACCATTGCAACGACTTTGCATCATGCGCGCACTACGCCCCGACCGAATGTCATATGCATCCAGGTACAACATAACTATTGACAAAATGAAAGCTAAGAATGTGCTTTTAGCATTTTTTAAGATAATACTAGACCTAATTAAAACTGCATTACCATAAATGACGATTATTTATAATAATTTCAGATGTGTTATTAAATTTCAGACTGCACGCTCAACAATATCACAGATAACATAATATTACTCTATATAAATTAATGCGCAATTTCTTACCTTCTAGGCAGATCTTAAAGAAATATACGTGAACGAACATAGGCTATATTTTATATTTAAAAAACAGACGAAGTTTATAGTAATTTTATTGATTTCCTAAATGGTTTTAGTGCATTTTGTGAAGAAAATCTGGGAACAAAATACATTGAAGCGCGAACTCCACCTTTAGAGAAGTCTTATCAGGAGAGTACATCTACTACGGCTATGTTCTTCATTTTGTCACCAGGAGTAGATCCACTAAAGGTATACTATAATAACTAGCACCGAGATTTTATAGATATATTATGAACATGTTTTACTACAGCAAAACACTACCAAATACTCTTATTAACACTTTAAGTAACATAAAGTTTATTTAAGTATACAAGAAACAATGCATAAAACAATATTTTATTCATACTTTTTTCTTTTACCTAGGATTTAGAAAAGTTGGGCCGAAAACTTGGCTTTTCTACGGATAAGAAGAACTTCCATATAGTTTCCCTTGGCCAAGGTCAGGAAGTTGTTGCTGAAGAAGCTATGGGCGTGGCTTCGGTTAACGGACATTGGGTGATTCTACAAAACATTCATTTGGTAGCGAAATGGCTTGCAACGCTTGAAAAGAAAATGGAAGAAACATTTGAAAATCCTCTACCTGAATATAGGTTAGTTACGAATATGAATATGTGACCAGTAGTCTGCTCCATTTGGGGGCTATTATCTTTGTGATTTTTTTATATGTTAACATAATATATATGTTACTTGGAATAATGTACCTTTCAAACAGTGATAGAATTTTGAAAATTGGTGCAATATTTCCGGAGTCTTCATTCCTCATAACAATATATATTTTTAATATCAATATGATAATAAAGTGTTTCTAAGATATCTATATGAATATCTCGCATGCTGTTTGTCTAGAATAAACTCCGAAATTACGGAATCAATTTTGATGAAATTTAGTTCATTATATTTTTTTATTTTTATTTATTTAACTTTAATGCACAAAAACAATGTGTACATATGGCGGACTTAACACCATGCGGCGTTATCTACCAGTCAACCATGAGTGGTGCAGAGAAAAATTGTTGGCGGTGCACTAATATAAATGAGTAATGTTAAAAAAAAAAAAAAAAGATATATATAAATATAAAGCAAAATATTTTAAATATAAATTTCAATAAAAATTAATAATAATAATAAACATACATAAATAAATGTATAAATATAAACATAAATATATAAATATTATATATAAATAAATACATAATTATCTGATAATCAAATTATAAGTAGAGCCTCAAGTTGAAAGTAAGAAAATATATATATATAAATATAGAGAGAGCTATAGGGAAATAACAGAAAGATGTGTAAAAGGTAGAAAGACAGTAAAAAAAAGTTACAAATTTAAATAATGTTCCCGCAATTTCTGTTTAAACGAAATTTTACTCGTGGCGGTCTTGATATCAAGAGGTAAGTCATTCCAGAGTTTGATAGCCTGAACGGCGAAAGAGTAATGGATGAAGCCGGATAAATGAGCCGGGATATGAAGTAAGAATTTTCTGGAAGTGAATTATATCTACGCCGACTGAAAAGATTTTTTTATTAACTCATTATTGGAACAACTAAACCACAGCAATACGTGGCCAGGCCAACTAGTAATATAATTATATATAATTACCAGTAAATACAGATAATTGATTTCTTTTGTATCTTAGTAAAAGCTGACCCATTAAAGTATTTAAAAAAATATCTCGTACAGATTGTACTTGAGCGCAGAACCAGCAGCAGATGCGGCATATCATATAATACCACAGGGTATCTTGGAGTCAGCAATTAAGATCACTAATGAACCTCCAATTGGAATGTGGGCTAATTTGCATAAGGTAGAAAATACTTTGATCTATTTGTTGCTTCCTTTCTTGTTATTACGGGGCACGTAAACAGAGAAGATACAGGATAGTCCCTCTGTACATACATATTTTGTTAGAAGCATAGAATATACGCAATTTGTAATACATCATCTTATATCATAAATCGGTGTAACTTTTTTCATAAATATAATAATTCTAATTTTTAATAATAAATTTTTCCCATACTGTCGAATATTAGCAAGTTTTTAAAAAAACTTGCTAAAAATAAAAATTTCATGACTACATAAGTCATGAAATTTTTATTTTCTACTATTTTCCGTAGAGAAGTAGCTAATAAGAATATACCTATATAATTTTGTTTAATATAGAGCTTATTTCATATGAACAATCATCGTGTTTATACATTTGTTTTAACGTAGTAAAATTTTATTTATATACTTGCTAGTCATTAGATAACTTCAGTCAAGAAACATTGGAAATGTGCAGTAAGGAAGCCGAGTTTAAGTCGGTCCTGTTCTCTCTGTGCTATTTCCATGCCGTCGTTGCCGAGCGGCGCAAGTTCGGCCCGCAGGGTTGGAACAGGTGAATATGAAAATTGGAATACCTTATTCTAAAACTACATATTTGATTAAAAATTTGTATGTTAAATTATACCTATACGTTTTAGTATAAAAAGCTTTAATGTTTTAGAGCATATTCAAGTACGGTATTTTATTCACATTCTTAATTTATATATATTACAATATCTTATTTTTAAATTTTATCGTGGAAGAAAAAGGACGACCGACAATAAGATGGATGGTGAAAGATAATATCCAAAAAAAGGCATACATTAACTATCATTTGTTTGAGTACCTAATAATAGCTATTAATTATTAATCCTTCTCTATTATAGAGTCTATCCGTTCAACTTTGGCGACTTGACCATCTGTGTGTACGTGTTATTTAATTACTTGGAGGCAAATCCGCGCGTGCCCTGGGAGGACTTGCGCTATCTGTTCGGTGAGATCATGTACGGCGGTCACATCACCGACGATTGGGACAGACGGCTCTGTCGTACATTCCTGCTCGAGTACATGCAGCCCGAACTAGTATGTTCTATTTCACACAAGTATTATTAATACTGGACGGTAGGATAAAAAATAATAATACAAAATACTTGCTGTTGAGAATCAACGATAATGTCTTCTATGAATAAATAATTTTTGATTTGATATAATATTCAAATTTCGTTGTTACCCAGATACCTACATGCAGAAAAGTCAAGATGAATATTGTAAATAAAAATTATTGTAAATAAAATCAATTTACATTACTAACAGACTTTTTGATAATATAAACACAGTTAATAAATTAAACCGAAAGAAGGCGATAGGCTCGCCCTAAAGAAACATTATTAAATTGCATTTACATAGCAAAAATGGACTGAACAATTTTAGGTGGACGGGGAACTTCAACTTGCCCAAGGATTCATATCGCCTCCCAACTCCGACTACGTAGGTTACCACCAGTACATAGACGATTACTTGCCAGACGAGACACCATATCTCTACGGGTTACATCCTAATGCTGAGATTGGGTATTTGACCACAGTTTCAGAGCGTTTGTTCAAGGTAATATTTCTGGCGGAATCGTCTAGTTGTAGTCATAGTCGTTTTGTATTCTAAAGTTTTAAAAGTAGCTTTAACAATTTTCGTATCGCATATGCCAGTTTTCCTCAATTGAATGTATGTATAGAGATGGATAGACGAATGGACAGTAGGGAAAAAATATTAATACAAAAACTCAACCTTCATAAGAGACTATGATGATTAACATATTTAATTTGATCGATATGTTTGTCGAAAAATATACTCAGATTTGACACATTATTTTCCCTTGTACCAGGTGGTATTTGAAATGCAACCTCGAGATAGTGGTGCCCAAGCTGGTGGCGGAGCTACAAAAGAAGAAATGGTGTGTAGTATTCAAATAACATATTATCACATTACGTGCAACCATTTCAGTCTGGATGACTAGACCTGTAAATAATCCTTAATCTCGGTCGAATTTATTGAGGAGTTTGGCATTACATGAACCTTTTAATTTAATTACATAAAATAATAAGCCGTTAGATACATTCTCAAACATACAAAGTCATGATAAACACATATTTAATTTATATCCATAAAATCTGTTGTAACTATACTGATTTCTTAGTATAAACCAAAAAAATATAGATATTATTAATATTATAAAATAAATTTTGTTTTGTTGAACGTGGTAATTTTACTACTAGTTCGAATTGAAAAAAATCTTTTAGTATAAGACATTCGAGGTGGTCGATAGGAGCAGAGAATTAATGAAGGTGTTGCAAAAACGTCGATAATGTATTCTCTTTTTTTCTTATGACACCCAGTCCCCTGTGTCACAGTGTGCGGGTATCCTAATATTTTATAGTTTACTATTATAATGGCTAGTGAATTGTACGATATCAGGTGCGATACATGCTCGACGACATCCTGGACAGAGTACCGGAGCCGTTCAACTTGCAGGAGTTGATAGGCAAAGTGGAAGAACTGACACCATTCACTATCGTAGCACTTCAGGAGTGTGAACGTATGAACAGACTAATGGGTGAGATTCGACGCTCTCTCAAAGAGCTCGAACTTGGCCTCAAGGTTTGTACAACGAGGTTTATTCTTAGAAATTACTCATAAACTTTATGAATTCAGCATAAATATACACATCTTTATCTTATTACATAATATATATAAATCTTTTGGCGTATATTTGTCATATAAATCCTCCTAAAGATGGCTAATATAGATGAACATTTTGCATGCAATGCAATGCTTAAAAAGGTTTAATAGAATAGAATAGAAAATCATTTATTCAAATAAATAATAGTTTAATAATACTATTGGACCCAGTATTTGGAGATATTTTCCGAACAGGACGGACAGGTGAGTGAATTGACTATAAGAAAAATGTGGGTGGCTGAATTGTTTATATTCATAATTATGCAGCAATACTGCAATGGGCCAATTTATTTTTCAATAATACAAACCTAAGCGTAATCGTTCAATAATAATCTCAAATTATTAATATCTTTCAGGGAGAACTAACCATTAGCAGTGACATGGAAAAGCTGATGGAATCGTTGTTCATGGACAAGGTACCAGATTCGTGGACTAAGTTGGCATATCCGAGCTTACTCGGACTTGCCGCTTGGTTCTCAGACCTTTGTCTAAGGCTCAGCGAACTTGAAAATTGGTCTGGTGACTTTAATGTACGTTTATTGCCATATAGGTATATTATTTGTCTCTTATTTGTTACAGTATAATTTCTTGAGAAAAGCTAACAAAGTAGGAAATTTTGTTCGTGAATGAAAATTTTTGATCACATTCATACATAACTACTATACTCCTATTCAACAAACTGTTAAGTATATTATTTTAACATATTATCTACTTTGAGGCTTGATACAAAGCTACGTATTCTGCTTCGGTTGAAGAGAATGATACGGATTGTTGTTTTCCTTATGGCGTTCCTACGATATAACATTTATGCCTAATAAATTCTAATAAACATTAGGTTTATTACTATATCTTTATTATTATTAGTTATGATAATTACTATTCCATTCACATTTTTAAAGTGTGATAGTAAATATTGGCTTCAATGATAAACGTTATTGTGGTGTGTAGCTACCACCGGCGGTATGGCTGGCCGGTTTCTTCAACCCTCAATCGTTCCTGACCGCTATAATGCAGCAGACGGCGCGCAAGAACGAATGGCCACTAGACAAGATGTGTCTCAATTGTGACGTCACCAAAAAGAATAGAGGAGATTTCAAGTAAGAGCATATGTATAATACGAATAATTTAAAGTGTAACGTAGGATATGGACCAGACAAAGCAGCCTTTTTTGTAATTTGTACTAACTTTTAAAATTAATTAAAATGAACTATACTTCCTTTCTAATCAATCCATTATTTACTATGTGTATTTCGAGATATTATTATACTCTGTACAGATAATTCCTAGTTTCTATAATATTACAATATTTATATAACTATATGTATTATTTATGAAGATGTTTATATATTATATTATTATTATTAGGAATTACAAATTGAGTTTCGTTATTCAGTGTTAAACTATTCGCTAGTTGCATGTTTACCATTTATCAGTGCACCGCCCCGTGAAGGCGCCAATATCCACGGGCTGTACATGGAGGGTGCGCGGTGGGACACGGCCACAGGCGGTATAGTGGAGTCACGGATGATGGAACTGTTCCCATTGATGCCCGTCATCTTCATCAAGGCTGTTACGCAGGACAAACAGGATACACGCAATGTATACGAGTGCCCTGTTTACAAGATACGGTAAGATATTAAAGATCTGTATCGTAATGTCGCCAAGCAACTTGCTCTGTGAGCTATATTTCGGTTTGGAGGATGAGATAAGGTAGTATAACATCCCATGCTTCGCCATTTCTCTTGACTAAGCAAGAGAAATGGCGAAGCATGAGATGTACAAATCGGATTGTTTCTATGTAATAACCGAAAGTTACAACGCTGTATTAGACGGATCGTCAGCAAGTTAGCCACTCTTTCTCAACTATTTTATATGATGTGAATTAATAAATATTCTTCCTTATCTAATAATATATAAATGAATAATACAAACTATACTATACTATGCACATAACTTAATATGGTTTACTAATAATTTGCAGTATGCGTGGACCAACGTTTGTTTGGACCTTTAATCTGAAGACGAAGGACAAACCGACGCGCTGGACTTTGGCCGGTGTTGCACTATTACTTGGTGTCTAATATTTAATGTATTATTTATATTGTAGTATTTAAAACTTATTTTTTATCATTTGAAGCCTTAAATATTAATTAAAATAACATATCCAATATTGTATTTATTCACCCACAAACAGAAGTAGGTTTAGATTAGTGCCTATATGAAACGAATCCCTCTATTCCCGCTTATATTTCTATTAATATTTTGATTATTGTTTGTGTGAAAGTAAAGCATCTATTCTAGAGTTATATTTATTTTGAATAATTTTCTATAATACATTATCTTTACAAAAATATCACTGTTTTATTAGGCAATGTTCGTACTTTTACGGTTTTAATAACATGCGTGCAATTTTCTACCGAAAACACGGAGATGTTCAGGGCATCAAATTTCGAGGCTGCATAACTAGGTTCTTTATTGTCCATATTATCCTATAATTTACCATTTCTGACAAAATCGTGTACATTGAATAATATGTTTTCAGTGTACGCGATTTTGTCAGAAATGGTAAATTATAGGATTTGTAATAAAAAATTAAATAATTATACTATTAGACCATCGACATCACTACCTGTAGCACTTCATCATCTGCTTCTTGCTTATCCCATTTATTTGGGGTCCGTGTAATATGTTTTTCGCTTCCATTCATCCCTGTTCGCAGTCATCGCGTTATTTACTTCCTTTCTTACTATATCATCTTTCACACAGTCCATCCATCTCTTTTTCGACCTTCCTCTGCCCTTATAACCATCCACATTCATATGTAACACCTTTCTTAAAATATTATCCTCGTTCCTATGCATTACATGTCCATACCATGATAGACGATTACTCTTCAACCTCTCTGACACCGGTGCCACCTTCATACTTCCTCTATTGTATTCATTCTTTATCTTACCCATTCTTGTCACACCACATATCCACCTCAACATTCTCATTTCAGTTGCATGCAGTCATCTTTCATCGGTCGCCTTTACAGGCCAGCACTCTGATCCATACAAGACAGCAGGCCGGATCATGGTCTTGTAAATTTTCCCCTTAAGCTTAAGGGGAACACGCGAGTCACACGTCGTTGCCGTAACCTGCCGCCACTTCATCCATCCTGCGTTAATTCTATGCTTTATGGTCCTGTCTAATTCACCATTGCTTTGGAGGAGAGAATCTAGATACCGGAAATCGGAGCAGATCGGTAATGGAGCTCCATTTAGTTATATGGCTGCAGAGCCTGAAAGACCGCCAAAATCACAAAACATATATTCCGTTTTGGAAACACTAATTTTAAGCCCCCACTTTCCAGCTTTTGCTGCCACATCACCAATCTACTCTGTATCCCAGCCCCCTCCTCACCAACGAACACAATGTCATCAGCAAATAGCATGCACCAGGGTGCCTCTTCTTGTATCTCCGACGTCAAGGCATCCATTATCAACAAAAAGAGGTACGGGCTTAAAGCCGATCCCTGATGCAAGCCTACAGCCACTCTGAACTCGCTGATGTTTCCAGCGGCCGACCGCACATATGTACGAGGTTGACTGTACATAGCACGAATTAACTCCACATACTTCACTGGCACTCCTCTATCTTTCAAGGCCCACCACAAAACCGGTCGGGGTACTTTATCGTACGCCTTTTCCAGGTCGACAAACACCATGTGCAAGTTCTTGTGAGCAGGTCTGTATTTTTCACACAGCTGACGCAGTGAAAATATGGCATCTGTGGTACGACGGCCTGGCATAAATCTAAACTGGTTTTGGGTGATATCTGTCTCTTCACGCAATCACTTCTCTATCACTTTCTCGCATACTTTCATACTGTGCGACATTAGCTTTATTCCCCGATAATTATTGCAATCCTGTACATCACATCACCCTTATTCTTAAAAATGGGCACTAGTGAACTATTGCACCATTTCTCAGGGATCGCCACTTCTTGCAACAATTTATTAAAGAATAAAGCCAGCCATTTAACTATCTGTAGCACTTGGATACTCTAAATTATTTAAGATTAAATACATAAATACTAGGTTAAACGGCGACAAAGCGACCTTACATAGTTTTGCATAAATGCACCATTTAAATGGACTCATATTATATGTAATTACATTAATGCTCTGTTATCTTCTGCATACAGCAATAAAACTATGTTTACCTATATTGTTTAGTTCTATGTACGATTTAATAGGATTGGAAATGTGAAATGAAAATTCTTCAATAAAAAACATTAGTAAAAAAATCAATTTTATTGCACATTTTCTACACTGTAAGTAATTTTTCTGATATAAGTATTACATTATTTATATTTATTTATTTGGATTAGTTCCAGTAAATACAATAGATAAGTACAATAAATGCAGAATGTCGACCCAGGTTAAAGTAAAAACAAAATATAATGACTATTAAAATGCTTTATGACTTATATTCGTGAAAATTTAATATAAATTTTATTAGAGAGAAGTTTTATCAATCCTACTCATAATAATATTACTAAAATTAAAACAGTTTATTAGTGAAATATTTAGCTTCTTTAAGCAGAGTTTGTATTATGTGTAGTACACATAAAACAGACAAATGTTTGAGATCTATAATTACATACAGAATAATATCCAGACCCATACTCTATTTGCTTGTACTATTATATATATAAATGTTTGGTGATTATGAGCATCGGGCCCACGACCATGTAATGTTAGAGCACTGTGCTAAACCGCTAGAGTAGCTATGTTGTTTAGTTTCACCCTAAATAAAACTACCTACTGGAACTTTTCCATAAATTGTGTGGTAATAACAATGGACAGACGTACATGTACAGATTTCTGTGCAGAATTTTATATTTAAATAGGAAGACTACACACATATGAAACATTAGAAAATATTGAAGATTGCTCAGTGTTTCAATAAAATACATTATAATTTCATTTCTATACAATTAGAAAAATAGGTTTTTCGTGTCTTAATCTGGCTCTAATATCGGACGGTTTCTTCAGTCTAATGATAATAAATCTCACAACAAATATTGTGCACAACAATACAACCAATAGTTTGAAAAAAATTTTTTTATCTCTGTCTAAATCTACCACTAACTGGCAGTGAGTATTCATAATTTTCATCATTTTATAAATCAGCCACTAAGTACGCTTTTAGTATTAGGCGATATATTATCATTATCTGAGGGAGGTTCGGATCCCTTAACAGTGAAAGTGACATAATATCTTTTATTTTTGTCCAACTTCTCAGCCGGTAAAGCTATTAGTTGTTTTTCTGTACCATGGGAAACCTCCAAAGTGACATGAGCTTTTCCGGAGCTAACAGGTGGTTTTGCATTTATTTTCGGTAAAAATCCCTTTGACTTAGTAGTAGGCCCGGCTGTTGCTGGTTTGGGCATTGTGTGATGATTCCATTTGTAAGGAACTGAAAGCAGTGTAGATTACAATGTTTACAACTTTTCCTTATTTGATTATCTATAAATCATCTTTTTGATTTGTTAGAATTGTTTTATTTGATGTGGAATAAAAGTTCTCAGCATGGGTACCACAGTCTTACGTATTTCAACTGCCAAGCAGTTTAGTTTGTAGTGTTATGCTTTGGTTATAGGGCGAGATAAGATGACGATATTACAGGATAAGAGGCATGACATCTTAGTCCTGTGAAACGACAACGTATGAGTGCTATAACGGGTGTAACATAATAACGTACATGATATGCGTAGTGCAGTTCCTGTTCATAGGAGACGGTTAACGCATACCATCAGGTAGGCGATCCGCTTGTTTGCCATTTCTATCAGGAAAAATAAATTACATTGTAATGTAAATAAATTGTATTCACACGTTTCGACTTGTAAATGTAAACTTACAAGGATTGTTTAAAAGAGCAACACACAAGTTTCTTGCTCGTTCTTCTTGTGATGAGACAGCTTTCTAAACGAGCGGGAGATAAAAACAAACGTTATGACTATTCAAACGTACTTAAATTAAGTTTAATTAATGTTTGAAAATATGTTTTGAATGTTTTGAATTAATGATTTTCTATTCTACTCTATTCTATTCTATTCTACATTAAAAAGATACTTACTATAAGCTGAGCATGGAACTCCAGTATAAGCATGTACAGCGTGAAAACATCGATGAGTTTTGTTGGTACATAGGCACGGATTATCTGGAATGGCGCTCATTTTATACAGTTCACTTTCTCCATAATCGAAGTCAATGGGATTCTCTGGCAAATTATCAAGATGTTTTTTACCGCTTTTCTGTAATTTTCTTAAACTTTCGTACAAAAACTTTTCAAAACTACTAAAGGAAAAATCAGGAGTATTGTATGGTCCAAGACCAACACTAGCTAAACTTGATTTATTATATTCATCAATAGCCCTTTTTACAAGAATAGCTTCATTTGTCTTACTTGTTCGAATTTGTAGACGTTTTAATTCCAGTAAATGCTGAAATATTTTTCTTTCACAATAATAGCTGTAAACAAATATTAATAATACATTAGTAATGATTATAATTAACAACATTAAAATATTACGATATGATCGTTTTATAATTTGTTTAGTATTTATTATTTTATTACATTATATCAGCACATTATATTAAAAAATGGTTATAAATATATGAGTACACTCACTTACCGTCGCATATTCGTCTGAATTCGTTGAGTAACTGACTTCATATCTACTGCATTTTTATCTCCTGGCTTGCGTACTGGTATTCTACTGTCGGATTTTTCCGAGTACCTTCCGCTAGCATTTCTTAATTGGTAGTAAGCTGCAAGACGTGGACTAGTGATACGTCTTTGGAGAGCTCTCGGGCTAGGTTCAAAACCCGAATCCATTAGACCACTAGATTCATAGCCTCTTTCAGAATTTTCGCTCTTGGATCTAATTGTAGTTCTACTTTTTGTTCTGCCTTTTTTACGAAAACGTTTTCTTCGGCTATTCACTTCCGAGTGACTATATATTTCATTATCACTGACACTGGGTATTCTTCCATATGTGTTATCTTTAATAATTGTATCGTCATTGTCTAAATCATTTTGGTTATCGTCTTGAGAACCATCAGTAATTTGAGTGATTGATTGAGTTTTTTTTAATATACCTGTCGTTATTATTGCATCAGGTGCACTTGCAACATCTGATAATACTTTATAACTTTCTGTCTCATAAATACTACTTTTTCTGCTACTAGCCTGACTATCTTTAGAAGATTTTCTAGTTCGTCTGGGTGACGATTGTGATAAAGTTAAATTTATGTCATATTCCTTATCCACGTTTTCTAAAATAACTTGTTGTAGAGCTCGATCATTTGTAGATAGATTACCATCAATTACTGTAACAAGACCCTTATCAGCAGTTTGACTAAATTCAGTACTACTACCTGTTGTTGATGTACATTCTTTTCTTTTTTCTTCTACAGTCATTAGATTACTATCATTGCTTTCTTTTTTTACATTCTCTTGTTTCTTTATTTCATTTTCTACATTAGTATGATCAACATATTCTCCCATTAAATGATCACATTGTGAGTCCTTGCTTTCAAATATTTCATCTTTATTAGCGAATGATACTACAGGAGAACTACTTTTATCCTGAGATTCTGTTTGTTCAATGCTGGGAGCATCTAGACTTGTTTTCATATCGCCAGACATATCTTTACTCTGTATTAATATTGCTTCATCCGGTCCTGATAATACTTGAAATGACCTTTTCCTTACTTTATCTGAAGTGGACGGAGAGGTATCTTTTAATTTACTTTCGTTGAGTGAAGTAGAATCAGCTTCAGTTGATCCTTGCATTTGTTTTATATCTTCGTTTGTTATTGTTGCACTTTCATTGTCTTTAGAGTTAGATGCTGTAAGAGATTTAACTTTTTCACTGTTAGAAGTATTTTCTGGAGATTTTGTAGTCACAGGTTCTTTATCCAATTCACCTAGTTTAGTTGGTGTAGGAATCTTCCCTTCAGTGCCTGCTATTAGTTGTACCGCTGATTCTGCAGTTACGAGGTATCCTTCATTATGTTTTTCATCCTCCAATTTTTCTTCAGCATTAATGTCTTTATGAGTGACAGATAAATTTGCCGTTTCTATTGATATATTATTAGAAGAATCAACAGTTACAGTTAGTTCAGAATTTCCATGTTGAGCTGATTCTCGTTCCATATGTATCTGTGCTTCTGTAACAATCATGTTAGTTTTAACAGAGAGAGTGTCAGTTTCTGTTTCACTTAATGTTTTGCTTTTAACTAATTGACTATCTTCTTTTTCAGATTCAGGTATTACAATATTTGCAGAAGCATCGATATTTGGTAACAAATCTTCACTTTTTTCTACATTTTGTGTGTCAATAGTTTTATATTTTACAATATTAACGCTTTGTTTTTCGTCATCGTTTTCAATGTGAATTGATGTTTTTTTACCTTTACGTTTAGTACTCCGCCGATCACTTGACTCTGAACTGCTACTTTCTGAAGAGCTAGATTTTCTTTTATTACGTTTACGGTGACGTTTGCTTTTTTTCTTTTCGGAATAACTTTCAGTATCAGAAGAACTATCTGTACCAGATCGGTAGCTTCGATGATGTCTTGAACTACTACCATTACGGCGCGATGGCTCACTTTTTGATCTAGACTTTCTTGAACTTTTTTTGTGCTTTTTGTGATCAATATTACCTTTTGTATATCCATCCAATTCGGTATCATAACCATCACTAAAACTTTTTTGAGATTCTGCAAGTCTTTTTCGTTTATCGTATTTTCCTGAGTATTTACTAGGTGATCGCCGTGCCAATCGTTTTCTATCTAAAGAAGATGAATCATTTGTGGAATCACTATCGTTTCTATCCTTTAAATATCTTCTTTCCTGCATAGGACTTGAAAGTTCCACGACTTCACGCTTTTCTATTCTTATTTTGTCACGAACATCAATTTTTGTACTTGTAACTCTTCGTGTTGGTAAGGCTGTAATTGGAGCACCATCAATTACTATTTGCGTATTAGCTAGTTTTGAAGCCGGTACTCCTCCATGCATTTGTAAATATTTTGCAGTCGATCTATGACCCCGAGTTGTAGCACAATCTAATGGTGTTAACGGGTCATTTTTCGAAGATCTAGCTACAGGATTTACTTCAGCACCACGATCTAATAATAGTCTACACAAATCAGCGTTATCTGTGGCTGCTGCTATATGTAATGGTGTACGACCCTCGTGATTAGTTGCATTAACTTGTGACGGTCTTCCATCTAAAAGCCATTTAACTAGTTCTCTCCTTCCTGAAGCCACTGCTTCGTGGAGTGGTAGATCTCCTTTGGAATTACGTAGCCATAGATTCGCTCCTCTCGCTCCTGTAATGATTTAATTTTTATAATTGCATGTTATATATATATACAATTGCTCTACATCTTTTATGTACAAAACTAACCAAGAATTCGAACAGTTTCTATCTGTCCTTTTGCTGCTGCTGTATGTGCCGGACTACGACCCCTTCTATCTTGACGGTGTGAATCTGCTCCATGCTGTAGTAATGCTGCAGTAGCATCGGCATGCCCTAATGCAGCAGCATAGTGCAAGGGAGTACAACCGTGAGAATCGGCTACGTCAACACGGGCACCACACAGGTCAAGGAGAGTTTCTAAAGCTTCAGTGTGTCCACGTGCTGCCGCACAGTGCAAAGCCGTCAGCCCATCCCTAGCAACATAATAATGAATATATAATAACAAAAAATATTATTGATACTGCACTTAAACGGCTAATACCTATCAGCATCGTCAACTTTTGCGTTAGCCTGATGTAGAGCCAATACTGCCGCTGCAGATCCCGCAGACGCCGCCCACAGCAGTGGCGTTCGACCATCAGCATCTCTTACGTCTACACGGGCACCACCCTCTTTAACTAACGCCCGAAGTACTTCTAAAGCTGCGCCTCTCGTCTGTAAATGTTGAAATATTTCCATCAATAACATTACGTTACTAATAGGTTTCTATTTCAAGTTTTTCTTTTTACCTATCTAAGAATAAAACAATTATTGCATTGATTTTAATTTCAATTATTATTATAACATTTTATCTCTTAGTATATTATATTGGTATTACAATGGGCCATTTAACTATCTTTAGCTCAAACACATTTTAGTACAGATGTACGATAGGATTGAATAAAATCTTTGATATGTAGAAAAACTCGAGATTGATTCATTCAAAAACAGGAAAATAATATAGTGCTTTCATAAACAAAGAAGTCTACTTATATAATTTATTTTATCTATTTAGCATCTGCGCGTACGTATATATAGCGTAGGTATATAGATAAATGATTAGCAATTAACAAATCTTAAATGTGTTATATATATGCAACCTTATTTACCATTTTTAATCAATTATTATAATCATTTATTTGATGGAAATAAAATTATAGGTATATCAGACATGGTTTTATCAACCTGGTGGTCAGTGGCCGCTGGTGCACCACACATCTGTGCTGCATAGTGTAAGGGATACCCGCCGTGCTGGTCAGGCGTCGCGGAATCTGCACCCGAAGCAAGCACAGCACGCAGCGCACCCACTTCACCACATACTGACAATAAAGTGTGAAGCAGTTAATTTTCAGCTATGTAATTCTAAGTGCGCTCGATATATAAAATATAATAATAGATGCCTATGTATAAAATTCTGTAATACCTTACATAATTTAAATTTAAAAAATACGTAAGTGGCAACCATCGCGTATTCTGTATATATAGGTATGTACGACCGTGGTAGATACCACTAATGCGTTCCCATTCCGTTAAAGATATCTCCCTATAACTTTACTATAATTTTTCATCCTTCAACCAAAATACATCTTACTAAGCAAGCTCTTAAGAACTCTTAAGCTCTCTGTGGAACTACTTTGCATATGATTAGGAAATAAAATTCTAAATATCCATGAACGTTTTAAAACGCTAACTAGTTAATACTAGATAAATCCAATTTCATATACTTTATAATTACTGACATCGAAAGAATCATAAACTATACTCATATATATATGAATCATAATCAAATACTATGTTATAATATAGTAGGTATATGTAGCAAAGTTAAACCGATGTATAATACATAAAATATTGACTCATTAGCTCAGTCCGACTCGTAACGACATAGCTACCTAACCTTTATAGTTTCGTATAATCCTAATTCTAGATAACTATATGACCCACCAGTTCAAGGGCTCGACCTTGTTCAGTATTCATTACCGCTGGACTGGACGTCGCGGCGTCGGATACGCCACCCACTCTCCACACCATACACCACACTGACCGTACCAATCTTCTAGCCACGTCTTACTTATGCGGCAAATTATATATAAATCAATACAAAGTAGCAGTGTCTCAGCGATGCAAAGAATTAATCTGTCTTAGATTAGACACAGGTATACTTTATCCTCATTTCAACAATTCTATTTTCATTTTCATTTTTTAATATATCATTTCGAACTTTATTATGTAATTAATATCAACATAGTATTTTCCATAGTTCGTTAAATTACTTGAAACTACTTCATACGGCGAGTATAATAATAATAAACACATGGTTCCGTAAGTCATTACTAACATAATACAATGATTAAACAATATTATCTTCAAACTTTATTTTAATAGTAATGTGCACCAAGTTTCCAGTTTGGAACAATAATTTAAATACCGGTTGATCTCTTGGTCAAATTTAATTTTATTCCTTCATAAACAACAACAATGTTCGCAATCATAACAAGTACGATTTTGTCTTATTAGACATTATTTTAATCATGTCTATATTTACATTTAATGAAAACCTTGGTATGGAAAAGGTATATAAAGGCTTCAGTATAGTGCAAATGAATAAGGCATGCAGTTAATGATGTCCGCAGTTTTGCTATATCTCATGACCACAGATAACATAATATTGCATGCTCATAACTGACCATCGAATTCTTTTAGCTTACTATTGTTAGTTTCAATACATAAAGAACACTCAGTTGGCTAATTTGTTTTAGATTTTTTTTCTCTTTTGGCTCCAGCGGTTTGTGTTTTAGCCATTTTCTAGTAACTATTTAAATTATTAACCGCGTTTTAACACGAATAATTTTATAGCAAATAAAGGTATTTACCTCTCTCGACGTTTCGACTAGGTTGCACTAGCCATGGTCACGAGCTGACTGGAGTAACAGCGATGTCAATGTAGATAGGTGACAGCAGTTTTTTCTTCATCTACCGTCACTAGATTGTTTAACGAAAGTTCGCGACAAACAGCTCGTGACCACGGCTAGTGCAACCTAGTCGAAACGTCGAGAGAGGTAAATACCTTTATTTGCCATAAAATTATTCTAGTAACTAATTTGTTACTTATATTTCAAATTTAGAACCATAGTCGGTCACGTGATGTTGGTTACGTCACTATTAAGCCGCCACCAATAGACATAAAGAGGACGGGAACAAGGAGGGAACGGCTTTCTTTCTTTCTGGTCGAGGCAACCGAGACTTGTAATAAAGCGACGCAATTTATGTGGAGTGTAATTTGAAAAAGGAATAAAATAAAAGTACTGCTGCATCGACGTATCATTTCTGAAACGTCCCAATACTATACGCTCTAGTACTAGTGTAAGTATCTATGCATAAACAATGTAAAATATCTTTTTTTACGTTTGCGGAATGTAAATACAATCGCAAGTTGTTTGAAGAAAGAAGTAGAAGGTCAAAACTGAACGGATTTCCGTTGGGGCCTACTTGCAATGTCGGAAACCAGCGTGACCTCGAGCCTATTTCCAAGTCTAGTTCAAGCCTTCGACGCTGTAGGTATACATTTTAAATAACTATGACAGTCTGTTTTATATTGCCTATTTTTAAAATAATTTTATATGTAAACTACTATTTCCATATAAATTGTATATTCCTTGGTTTGGCCATTAATCACCGATAAATTAATGTAGGAATATGATAAATTTACCACATTGACAACTAGTTTCCGTATAATAACTAAATATCATAAATCATTAGAAAAAACGTCACCATTTATGACCTGAGTCCTGTAAGATTTACCAAAACTTCAATTAGGTATTAGTTCAAATATTGATTAGTGTCTATGATTTTGAAAGGTCTCAATATGATCTTTTGGTTTGATTTACTACTTTCTCTGCCTTTTACCACGCCCGAATGTCGTGTTATTCATTTTTCATCATTTCTATAGGTAATATTAAAGATACTTTTCTTATAGCTTTATTATATATTCTCTATATTTATGGAAAAGAAAATAGCAACATTACAATTCACAATTTTCTTATAAGATTTTATTCTAGGTAATGGGTAACCAATAAGTAAAGCAGCAGCATATATTTATAATTCATTCCTGTCTTTATATATTCAACAACACTGAAGATGTTAAGTTTATATTTTGTTCATATTGAAATTACCTTGCATATGTTAAACATGTAATTTCAATATTTCGTACAGAATCCACAATTGATTATTAATAAAATATCACTTTTATTCATGTCAATTTATAACTAATCCATCATTGAATTTTAAGCAGTGTAATTTATGGGAGAAAGATCGCGTGCAAGCCACAGGATGCCAAAGCACTAGACAACCGCGAAGGCAACGCTACGCCACTAATTGACAGACAGATAGATAGACAACAACTTTACTGACTCACTTTCCTAGATATACATAACTGCAGATTATAAAACTACAGCCACTGACATCTACTTCGAAGATTCAGCTACTGCAGTTAACTATGTTGATCTTAGTATGGTAGATATACATTGAAGCCAGATTAGGATATTTGACAAACATGTCAAATATCCTAATCTGGCGCGTATGTTGTTCAGTTCAGTTCAGTCAGTTCCTTTTATATACTACTAGCTACTCGCCTCGTCTTCGCACGCATTATATATATCTATATCTAAACATTCCTCTTGAATTACTTTATCTAATGAAAAAAAAACCGCTTCAAAATCCGTTGTGTAGTTTTAAAGATATTAGATTTTTAAAGATAGCTACTTTGTTTTATTTTATGTAATAGTTTAGATATACTAGACTGTTAGAACAAACTTCCGTGATATCCGTAAGTAAGAACTATATACTATATATCTATACATATGTATGTTCAAATATATATAACGAACCTACTAATTTATTACGACAAAAAGCTGATTAGATATCAATGATTTTTTATAAATACCTTTTTTTTATACCACGTAGGTGGTAAACAAGCATACAGCCCATCTGATGGTAAACTATGCTATGCCCGTGGTTTCACCCGCGTGAAATTTATAGCATGTGTGTAAGCTATATTATTGTAAATTTTCCTTCCAGTTTTTGCGTGAAAGAGTAAGAAATATCCATCCATACTCATAACTGCAGCGTTTATAATATTAAGTAAGATGTAACATTGACCAGACTATGATTTATGAAGTCGAAGAAACAATTTTTCATAGGATTTTCAAACAGACTACTCAATAGATAGTTCAATATCAACCCACATATCCCAAAATATATTGAATAATATTTAAATAATGTAATTGAAAAATATTTCCTAATATTAAACTTTTCTATTCTATTCTATTCTAGTACAGCGTACGAGTAGTAGGTAAAAAATATTCGAAAATTATTCAAATTTTATAGAGAAAAACTATATTACATATGACTATATTTATAACATGCATTAGAACATCTGTTAGAATAAACCGTGATTGATTTCTGTAGAAGCATGTGGTTTAGTGACTTTCCTTGTAAATCGGAATTCCCGGAGGGCAAGAAGTGACGTTAACACTGAATACTAAATACATTTCTAATAAATAAACATGTACGTCAATGGAGCTTCCCAAAGTATAACCAAGAAATAATAATTAATTTTATTGCAGACTACCTATATATCATGGAACACGACAAGTTTGCGTGTTAAAACTGGAATCATATTATTCGAGAGTCAGTTATTAAAATATTGTGTAAAATTAATTTGAAGATTCTCAGATTAATTATTATTGTACAGTCTAAACCACTACATATATTACAAATTTTGTATATAAGGAAGCATATTAGTAGTACTTTCTTATTACAACTCCCAATTTTAAGAAAGTTGTACAAGGAAAGTTGTGTTAAATATATATAATGTTAAATTTCATTTTAAACATATCTACATATTAATAAAAAATTAAAATTTACAGTGAATATTACATCTGGAATCATAGAGGACTCTGTATATTTATCGGCGTTTTTGTGTCGTTCATCAGAAATAAATTATTCAATGGCTTAGTATTATGTATAGAGAATAATAATATGACAAAACCGCAAAGAGGACATTGGCCTAAACTATTAGTAACCATGAATAATGTTGTTATTTTTTTTTTTTTTTGAGGTTTGTATGCTCATAAAAGCATAGCCCGGCTGTGCCATACCTTGTTATTTTAGTTTTATTTAAGCTAGCCGAAGAATATATCAAGTGTATTTAGGGACTCTCGTATAAGTGAACTAGTAACAAGCATCCAAACCGTTCTGTTGAGCGGGTTTTTCTCGTTCGAAAATAAACTTCACCCATTCAATAACTATCAATATGACT